CACACACACACACACACACACACACACACACACACACACACACACACACACACACACACACACACACACACACCCATGCTCGTAGTTCGAAGCAAACAAAGAAACGAAAGCAACAAATATCAATAACAAAGTGTAGTTAACTCACCGTCAGTCAGCGTCCCACCTTCAGGATGCGGAGCCCAACCTCCGGCACGTAAAAAAGCGTCGTGTGTGTTCAGTCTGGGTGTTTTTGTGTAGTCTCTCTCTCTCTCTCTCTCTCACTCTCTCTATAACTCTGTGTGTGTGTGTGTGTGTGTCGCGCGCGCTGACTGCGTGCGTGCGTGGGCATCACCGACTCATCAGGAGGTTGAACCCCGACAGTCTGCCCGGATGTCGTGTGTGTGTGTGTGTGTATCCACATGCCAAGTCAAAGTCGAGCGTGGTAGTGTAGTGTAGCGTAGTAAAGTCGAAGTCGAGTGTAGTAGCATAGGATGGGAAAGTAGAAGTCTAGTACAGAGTAGAGTAGCATAGGGGTGGGTCTTTCCCACGCCGTAGAATTTGCCCATGCCGCCACCAAAAAGCATGCCCCCATCCAAAAGCAGTGCACGCCGCCACGAAAAATAGTTACATCACGGACAGCCTATGGGAACCCGTTTGCCCGAACACAAAACCCCACCGGTAGGTACCGCGCCAAGAAATCACTGGTAGGTACCACGGCCCTCTCCAACAGGCAAATAATCCCGGCCGTCGTGTCCAAGGTACCGGCCCAACGGCCTGGATTGATGCACTCTTAAGATCTTAAGATCGCGCTGATACGGCGCGTCGATCCGGTAAGACCCGACGACCGGGATTTCAGATTTGTTACATGGTTCGGTTGATCTGGGCCGTGGGCCAGTAGGACCAACAACGGCCCGGATTTCAGATTTGTCACGTTAGCGATTTTAATAGGGTAGGGATAATGATGATCTCCCCTACCTACCTACCTACCTACCTACCTACCTACCTACCTACCTACCTACCTACCTATCTACTTCGTAGTTCATTTGCAATTTTCCAATGGAAGGCTATCGATGCACACAAGCTGGCTGGTCCTGACAGTTATGGGTTGACAGTGACACGGACCTCCTCAGGTAACCGATAACTCTCTGGACCGGCCAGCTTGTGTGCATCGGTAGCCTTCCGCCGCTTCCATCGTTGTGGTCTCCACTGCTGCAGTTTCTACTGCTGCTGTTTCAACTCCGGGTTTCACTCCGGCAGTTTCTGCTACGGAAGTTGCCTCTGCTGCGGTCCCCTGCTACGGAAGTTGCCTCTGCTGCAGTGCCTGCTACAACAGTTGTCTCTGCTGCGGTTCCACTTTTTACCAGTGCGGTTCCTGCTATGACAGTTGTCTCTGCTGCGGTTCCACTTTTTACCACTTCCTCTGCTTCTGTAGCTCGAATTTCTCATGCTATAGTTTTTACTGGTATAGCTTCCTCTACCCCAGCCCGACACTCGCGTCCTATGTTCCGACATCCTGCCCAATCCACCCCCCTTTCATCCCTTTCTGTGCTTGGCCGCAGACGGCTGCGTTCCTCCTCGCCACCCCCATCTCCTCCACGGTCTCGTTTGAGAACCGATTCTCCGGTTTCTATTCTTCCCATTGTTCCGCCTTCATTGCCAGTGACATCCTCATCTTCTGTTAGAAACATCGGCACTCCTCTTATTGTGTATCATCGTCGACGACATGCACAACATCGCCACTTGGCCAGGGATCAGCGGCCTGCTTCTTTGTCTACCCCAATTTTCTCTGTGTCTCCTCCACAGGTTGTTGCGGTTCCGTTGTCCCAAACGGATACATCCGCTCCTATGCCTCCTGCAGACATTCCAGCTGCTTGCACACAGCCACAGCACCATGTTTTATGCCCTTCCATGTTCGTTTGTCCCCCAGCTGTACAACATGCGGCCCCGAACGCTGAGGGCCTGGAACATGATCAGCTCGGACTGCATTTAACCCCGCAAGGCATAGACCACACGGGGGATTTGCAAATGGCTGACCAGGATCATATG